GAAGGGTGTTAGTTGACTCCCCCAGAGCAAAGCCAAGCTGTTTACTGGCCCCCTCCCAGATGGCAGGTGGTTTAACCCTCTCTCAGGCTCTCTTCCATCCTGTCCCAGAACCCCACTAAGAAAACCCAGGCTTAGAGCCATGAGTCCTGACCCACAACATCCAAACACCCTACTGGTGGCCTTCCGCCTCAGATTCTAAAACTCCTTTTAAAAACAAATTCTATGCACACCCATATTTCTCACAGCTTTGTTCACAATAGCAAGGAGTTGGAAACAACCTAAGTGCCCATCAACAAACGAATGGATAGAGAAGCTGTGGTATATTCACACAATGGAATACTATGCTCCTTTTAAAAACAAATTCTATGCACACCCATATTTCTCACAGCTTTGTTCACAATAGCAAGGAGTTGGAAACAACCTAAGTGCCCATCAACAAACGAATGGATAGAGAAGCTGTGGTATATTCACACAATGGAATACTACGCTGCATTGAAAAACAAGGAGCTCATGCAATATTATTCAAAATGGGTGACTCTGGAGGACAGTGTGCTGAGTGAAGTATCTCAGTCACAAAAGGACAAATACTGAATGGTACCACTGTTGTAAAACAGGACTGACATTGGGGTTGGGGTGGGGGGAGACTGAGAAAGATGGGATAAATAATGTATACTGCACTGAAACAAATGAGGGAGAAACTGTTTAAAAGGGATATGTGATTAGGTATTTTTATCATGACGGGAGTCCAGAGCAAAGGCTGCATAGTGGAGTGGATCTGCTGGGAGGGATTGTAAAACAATGAAAGAATTTTTCTTTTACTTTTCAAAGAGGGGAGTGCACTGGGGGGGAGGGGTGGGCAGGGAGAAAAGTGCAACAATGAATGAATGGAAATCCAAAGTTTCCGTAAATGCTCATTGAAATTAATAATAATAATCATTTTTTTTTAAAAAAAAGATTAATTCTGAGCAAATTATCCTCTCCCCATTTGTTTTTAAAACTAGAAGTGAGTAGATTCTAAGGGCTGGGACAAGATGAGGCTGGGTCAGTTTTCTCCCTAATTTTGTTTTTCAGCATTTTGTTTCTTTGTCGGGAGGAATTCCAAGTCCAAGAGGACTTAATCCTTGTCCTACAGCTTAAAAAATTGATAGCTTACAGATGTCCCTGTAAAATCATTTCTACGGCCTGAGTCTGGAAAGAACTGACAGGGGAATATTAGGTTTGTCCAGAGCTTTGGATTGGATTTCCTGAGAGCTTGTTGGGCTAATTCTCTGGTAATTTACCTGCAAACGTACACTGGGTAAGTTGGCCCAGAGCTGAGCTCTCCTCCTCTCAGGATCCATCAGGGACAGTCTTGGACTGGGCAGTGAGGTGAGGTAGGGGATGGGGCTTATGAGTGGGGCTTTTACTGATGGTCAGTTGTCAAGGGAAGCCAAGCCTCACCCCCCACCCCCCAGTGCTTGGGCCCCCACAGTTTTTCACAGGAAGAGATTGATGTGGTTTCCTGTTGCTCCCAGATCAGTATGGTGCTGGTGTTAATATAGATTTTATTGTTTTAATCTTGCTCTGGGTGTGTGTGGGTGTGTGGGTGTGAAGGTGGCTGCGGGCCTAGAAAGGTTTTAAGTGTAAGGATTTGACATATCAAGTGGGCTCTGTGAAGCAGTCTTTCAAGGACTAAGGCGAGGCCTCTCCTCCACATGGTGGAGGGCACAGCAGTAGAAGGAAACAGCTCAGAACCCACAGCTTCCTGACCCCACTTAGTCAGTTTCTGGGCACTGTCCTGGCCTTCTGGCCTTGAAGGTGGGAAGGCCTTACGGGCCTTGGTCAGAGGACGGGGCCTCTGGTGGTCATGCACAGCCCCAAGGCTGTAAATCTTTTGGAAGCTGATTGTCTTTATGTTCTCCCACAAAGCAGGCTGGTGTGTTTGAACTGTTGACCTTTTGGTTACCAGCCTTACACTAAACTGGTTAGTCTACCAATGTTGAAGAAACAAGGAAAGGTAAAATCAGAGCCTCTGTTGGACAGCAGTTTAACCCAGTCAGCACAAGGTGTTGGCAATGAGAGAGATAGACAGAATGCAACAATATGAAGGTTAACAAGAGCCTTGAATTAGGTGTGATGAGCTATCGTAATGAATTACATTAGTCAATTGCAACTAATGTTATAAAACAAAGCATGTGTGAGTGACTGACTGAAAACCAACGTGATTTTTAACCTTTCACACAAATAAAAAGGGGGTGGTGGTGTATGACATGTAAAAAAAAAACAAAAAACAAACCACCCTCAACCAAACTCTTAAAGTAGAAAGAGCATGATGAGCATTTTAGGTAGAAATAAGGAAACAGGGTACAGTAGAAGAAAGAAAACAGTGGACAGAAACCTTGAAAACCAGAGCAGGGTCCCAAGAAGAAAGCCAGCTTCTCCTGCAGTCAGTGGTGCTGTGTCTCGTGATAACTCAGCCCCCCCTTTCCTGGAGCTTTTGTGACAAAAAAAAATTCTTTAATCCTCCCACCCCCACCCAGGAACGTCTATGATCAGAGCCAGTTTAAACTGGAACTTGAACATATGTCAAACTTCTGGCCTTGACTGTTGTGCAATCTTCCCCAAACTAGATGCCAGGGTTGAAACAGAAGATTCTAGAAGCCTCTGTAAGGGAACTCATCCTGGCATGTGAGTGGTGCGCCTGCTACCACAGCCACTCCCAACTGAGCCAATTTCAGAAGAGTGAGTGTTTCCCCGTTCCCCCTTTCCTCATTATCATTGCAAATAATGACCCAAATTCAAAAGACACTTCCTGTCATCCAGAAGGTTCTAACCCAGACCCCCTCTATCGGGTTGTTGCTGTTGTTGTTGTTGTGTGCCATAGGGTCAGAGCCCACCCAGAGCCGGCCCTCTGGTGGGTTTTCGGAGGCTGTACGTCACTGAGGAGCAGATTGTCCATCCTTCTCCCAAAGAGTAACTGGTGGTGCCTTTAGGATCGCAGGGCAGCTTCTTATCACTAAGGCCACTAGAGCTTCACCTGGTTGTTGTTGTGTGCTGTCGAGTTGCAGCTTACCCATAGCTGACACTCCAGCAGGTTTTTCAGAGGCAGTTTAAACACACAGTAGGGAGGTTGTTGTTGTTATGTGCCGTTGAGTTGCTTGCAACCCATAGTGACCCTGTGTAAAACAGTCCTAAACCCTGCTCTGTCCTGTGCCAATTGCACTGCCTCTGACACTCCCATCCCGATTACCCCAGTCACTGAATCAATCCACCTCATAGAGGGTCTTCCCCTCCTGCGCTGTCCCTCCACCCTCCCAAGCATGATGTCCCTCTTCAAGGACTGGTTGGTCCCTCCTTATAACACGTCCAAAGTATGTCAGACAAAGCCCGAGAATCATTGCCTTCAAGGAGCAGCCTGGTTTAACCCTCTCCAGGATGAATCTGTTTGTTTTCCTAGCAGTCCATGGTACCCTCAATACTCTTCTCTAGCACCACAGCTCAAAGGCATCAATTCTCCTTCTATCCTCCCTGGTCATTGTCCAACTCTCTGATGCATAACAAGTGATAGCAAGGACCATGGCCTGTATCAGACACACCTTAGTCTCCAGAGAGACACCATTGCTCTTCAGTACTTTGGAGAGGTCCCTAACAGCAGACTTTCCCATGAGATTGTTCATAGCTTTGGTTTGCTTGGCTCCACGGTCAACACTCTTGGCACCAGTAACCAGGAAATTAAAAGACATAATGCCACAGAAGGGTAGTAAATATTAATTAAAGGAGATTTGCCATCTTTCTTTCTTGGAGTCACTGGTGGATTCGAACTATAGGAGAAACATGGGTCAGCAGACCACTCCGGAAAGGATGGGTCCATCACACTCCCTTAAATCATATAGTGTGACATGTTTTGGGGGCCCTATGGCCTTCAGGCTGGCCCCTGCAAGACACTTTCTCTTTAAACGCCTTCCTTCTGTAATAAGCCTGACTTCTTCCTTATTCTTGCTAAGCAGGGGAGGGACCTTCCTTCTGAAGGGAGGTCCTGTCACAGCACTATTTTATCATTTGTTCCAAATGCTCCCTGACACCCCTGCATCATGGACTCTAGTCAGTGTTGTTGGGGTGTGTTGTCGAATCAGCCCTGACCCCCCGCTGGCCCCCAGTGGGATTTTTCGAGGCGGTAAACAGCACAGGAGAGGCGGGCTTCCCCTGCCGAGAGGCGGGAGGATGCAAATCCCTCTCATTTGAAGCTTCTTACCACTGGGCCGGCCCCGACAGCGCCTCTGAGTCACCACCTCCCCTCCAAGTCAGGGAAAGAGGTAGAAAGTTCCAGAAAGAGCTGGAGCAGTGGGTGGAGCCTTCGTGGGTGTGAGTGATGGACAAAATGCCCAGTGGGAGGGGCTCTAGCAGAACAGATAAAAGAGGGGAGGACGGACCCATCGCCAAAAATTAAAGAAGAATTGGGTGAGTTGGGTTCAGCAGACCGGGACCCTCCGGGCTATTAGGGGTGAACGGTGAGAACCAGATGGGGTGGGAGCCTCACTGGTCATCTGGAGGTGAAGGTGAGCGGAGGGGTGGGATGGTGGGGAGGGGTGAGGCAAGGGCCTCCCAGGGCGGAGAGCGCACGTTGCCTCTGTGTCCGCGAGGGTCCCGGGACAGCCAGGCCGGCCTGCGGACGGTGGTGGGTCGTGGCGGGGCCCCAGGCCTCGGAGGGGTGGCTTCTCTGCGAGTGGGGCCCTGCTTGGTCCTGGCAGCCCTGGGAGGGTCCGAGGTCCGGGAATCGGGGTGTGGGGCGGTGACGATCTCCTCCATCCAACTGTCCTGGATGTGGCCCCCAGCGAACTGGGAGGAATCGGGCAGCAAGCAGCAGAGGACTTGGCGACCTGGGACCCCTTTGGGGGGGAAACTCGAGTCCTGCATCTGTGATGGGTCTGCGGGTGTCGAGTGGTGCCTCTGAGCTGGCGGGAGGTGCATTCCAAGGGGACAGAGACGACCCCACAGCCCTGGGAGCTCCACCTCGCACCCCGATGTTGTGTTCGCGGGCGGAGGACGGAAGTTTGGTTTCTAATGACACCAAGCGGGAGATTGTCGCTGTGGGGCATTGGGCCTGGGCAGGTGAACCCGAATGAACATGAACGATGCCCCTGGGCTCTGCGTCTGTCTGTTTGGGGGACCCAGCTGGAAGCTGCTGCTGGTCGCTGACACAGCTCTGTTCCCCTTGCAGCAAATAAGAAACTCCCAGAGCACAAGGACTGGCGGAGAAGATGAGAAAACTACTCCGGTTTTTTACAGGATGTGAGGTACACACTTCCCCTTTCTGCTCCAAGTAGGAATTACTATTCAGCCAAACCTGAAGCCTCTCTGTTGAATGGGGGAGGGGAGGGGGAACCAAAAACATACAAGTCGCAGTGAGCAGATTCATACTTTATCCTGTGCTTTATAAGAGTGTGACTGATACTGGGTCAGCTAGAGTGCAAGCAAACGAGGGAATTGGAGTCAAAACTGCCCTCTTAGATTTTGGAAATCTGCTGTTTTTGCTGTTACTAGAGTAGTAGGAAGACGTCCAACCACCGGCTGTAGCAGCAGGGGTGTCGGACACTACAGATGAAATGGTTACATGAAATGAGTTAGGCCAGACTGCCAACAAGCTGTTTATCAGATGCCTTTTGGTAAGTGGGCTTTTTTTTTTCTTTTTAACCTTTATTTTATACTGATTTGCTTACAAAAATTGGTATACATTGTGTTTCACACTATCCTTCCTTCACATTGTTTTATACAATGGTTCCCCCCATTCATTATGCTTATAAAATTAGTCACCACTGAACTATGCCCACCAGTACCCTGTCTTCCCACATCCTAACCATTCTAGTATTCTAGCCACTGATACTCTAGTATCAGAGCATTGGCTGTGACAGAGACAGCCTTTGATCTTATTGAATGGTTGTCTTTTAAAAAGTTTTTTTATCTTATTTTATTATGATTTGTGTGTGCATGTGTACCTTCAAATCGGATATGACTGGTATAGGAGGAGATTGTCCCTCCTTCTCCAGCACAACATCTGGTGGATTTGAACCGCAAACTTCTGGGGTTGCAGTACTGCTTCTTGCCACTGGGCCAACAGAGCTCGCTAATTGTTTGTCTTCTTAAAGAGCCCCCCTCAGGTGCACTGCTCTGAGATACCTGACCTGTGGGTGGAGGGGCTGAGAGCCCTATTATTTATTTATATTATTATTATTATTATTATTATTTTTAAAAATCCAATCTGGATGTTGCAGACACCAGGGGACTAGACCCCATCCACCTGAAGCTCCAAGAAAGGGACACTTTTTAAGGAGTGCTGGTGGCACAGTGAATAAACTCAGCAAAGGCTTAGCAGTGCAGACAGATTTACAGCCTCAGACACTCGATAAGGGCCTGAGTTGGCACAGATGTCAGTGGGTAACTCTCCTTTATTCATTAAGGATGGTGACCCATACGGGCATGTGAGAAAAGACTCTTTTCTCCTACAGGAAAACAGTACCTGGCCCTGCAGACTTTCTGCTCAGAGGACAGAGAGCCTGTCACTCTACTCAGGCCCCAGGCGCCCATGAGTGGTCAGAGCTCACTGCTCCCTGATGGCCTCTCCCTGTGCTCAGTTTACCTTTCGGATTCCTTAGAATTCTATGTTAAGTGAAGCTGCTTTTCCACAAAAGGAGCTCCTAGGTGTGGCCTGGAGGGGCTGCATCTACTGCAAACTGGAATTTAGAAAGAGTCGCTTTTCCTTCTGGCCACTGGTTATTGTTCCCCGCTGGCTTCTTACGGGGAGAGCAGCAGGTGCCTGAATGGACCCAAGTCTCTTCTCTCATCTGTAAAGTAACCTCTTGTGTGATAACACAAGAAAAGAATAGATCTCTTCCTCCCCACCCCCTCCTTCTCCCCTATTTTCAGGGTGTTTGAAAATTAGTATGTATTCTTTTTTTATTGTTGAACATTGTCCTCCCCCTCTCCATTTCACCCCACAGTGCACCCCTCATTCCCGATTGCTCTCATACATATAATGCCTAATCACGTATTTCTTTTGGGCACTTCTTCCCCGCCTCCGCTCTCATGCAGTGTTCCTTATGTAGTCACTCTTCCCCCATTCTCTCCCCAATCCCCCACGTCAGTCCTATTATAGAACAGTGATGTTATGCAGTGTTTGTAACCGAGATACTTCACTCAGCCTATTGTCCTCCAGGTTCCCTTATGTTGTGTAAGGTTTTACTAGTTCATTGTTGTTTTTTCTGATGCTGCGGAATATTCCATGTGTGAATGTACCATAGTTTTTCCGTGCATTCTTGTCGACAGGCACTTGAGCTGCTTCCATCTCTTCACGACTGTGAATAACGCAGCAATAACCATGGTTGTGTATGTATCTGTTTGAGTCACAGCTCTTTGAGGTCTCTTCCTTCTCCCCTGAAAAACACATTTCTAGCTCCAAGGACCCCAGTGAAGGGAACGGTTCCTGCCTGAGTGAAAATAGCTCCTCCCCTGTTTCCTGTTTGATGACCAGGGCGGAGGGAGGGCTTGAGTTTTCTCTGGGAAGGCTCATCTCTGTCTCTTGTTTCTCTGTTGCAGGGCAACCCAGAACCTGGAGACAGGATCAAGATTGGTCGCAAATACTTTGAGCACTGGGCCGTCTATGTGGGAGATGGTCACGTGATTCACGTAGATCCTCAAAGTAAGGAGATTCTCTGCTCAAACGTAAACCTTGGGTTCACAAGTGGGGGCAGATGCTCAGGGAATCTCCCTTCAGTTCCTGGAACACAGTAGATGCTCAGTGAATATTTGTTGTAAGAATCATGGTCTTCTGTGCGTGGGAGGCACTCACTGAGTATTTCCGGAATGAATCATAGTCTTTGCCTCTGAGAACATCAGCTGCTGACTCCTCTTTCTCCCAAGTCTGGGGGCTGCGGAGCTTTATTCTACTGTAGGATAGGGTGCAGTTCTAGCCACTCCACTGTACCACTGGCGAAGCATTCCTCCACATTTTCATTCTAAGCTTTGGGTGTTCAGGAAACTCAAAGAAGGAGAAAGAAACCCTTATTTTCTTCAAAGAGCTGACAAGTGTTTACAAGAGTGCCTAGTGTAATAGAAGTAAGACAGGTCTCCTGACAGTATAGGATCAGTGTGGGATCCTGGCTCCTGCACTGACCAATTGTGTGACCTTGAATGTGACTTACTTTGCTTAGCTTAGCTGCACTCTCTGAAAAGCAGGTACAAGAATACCTCCCAGGTGTGATGGAGGGATCAAATTAAGACACTGGTGCAGGGTCTGGCCACATGCTGGGTCAACCTCCCCTGCTTTCTGAAATGTGGCAGCAGTAAACAGAGTGAAAACCTCCACGTGTTCTCCTTGAACTTGAGCCAAAGTAGGGTGGGCAGACCTTCCTTAGCTCACATTTATTCATGATGCCAAAGGCAACTAGTTGGTACAGCTCTTAGGAGCCAGTTCTGAGCCCTGTGACTATGACCGAGATCAAGCTCTCCGTCTTCTCTTTGTGGATCCACAGATAAATTTCCTGCAGCTGGTGAGTCCTTAGTCAAGTCAGCGATGGCAGAAAAAGCCCTAGTGAAGAAGGAACTGCTGTCTGACGTGGTCGGCACGGACGACTACCAAGTCAATAACAAACACGATGCTGAGTACCGACCGCTGCCTTCCAGCAAGATCGTTGAGCAAGCGGAGAAGCTGGTCGGACAAGAGGTTCCCTATTCCCTGAACAGCGAGAACTGCGAGTACTTTGTGAACAAGCTGCGCTATGGAGTTGGCTTCAGTGAGCAGGTATGTCCTCAGCCCGTGTCCCCATCCTCAGGCCATTCCCGCAGCTGCCAGTGGCTCAGCCTCTGCTATGCATGTGGCCAGGGTGGATGGAGGGGCTCGGACAAGGCTGAAAGGGCAGAGATGGAATCGGTGGTCAGGGCAGTAGTGAGCATGGGGACACAGACAGGCAGGTCAGGACCACAGAGGCCTGCTGTCGGTGTGGCGACATCATGGTCCTGCAGTTGTGGAGTCCCCCTAAGACAAGTCTGCAGTGCAGCCTCAAGGCAGGCCTTGAGATCTTCACTTCCCACATGGGAACGCTGAGGTCCAAGCACTTAAGTAGCTCATCCAAACTCACTAGACAACTATGCATTGAGTCTCTGTTGTGCATCAGCCACTGTTCAGGGACGGGATATGAACCCATGTGAGTTTCCATTCAGATCCCTGATCGAGGAAGACTCCCCAAGAGAGGAAACCCTGAACTGAGTTTGACTGAATTTCTTCAGTTCATGTGAAGCTGGGAGAAGAGCTAGTGATGAGGAAGGAGATGTAATGAGGATGGAGAGAGGTGTGGTGAGGAGGACAGAGGTGTGAGGGGGACAGAGGTGTGAGGAGGACAGAGGTGTGAGGGGGACAGAGGTGTGAGGAGGACAGAGGTGTGAGGGGGACAGAGGTGTGAGGAGGAGGACAGAGGTGTGATGAGGACAGAGGTGTGAGGAGGACAGAGGTGTGATGAGGACAGAGGTGTGATGAGGAGGACAGAAGTGTGAGGAGGACAGAGGTGTGAGGAGGACAGAGGTGTGAGGAGGACAGAGGTGTGATGAGGACAGAGGTGTGAGGAGGACAGAGGTGTGATGAGCATTGCAGGTGGTGGGAACAGCATGAGACTGAGGACAAAATCAGGTACCCCGGAGACTGAACTTTCTATAAAGGGTCACACAGTAGGTGAGAATGTTCACATTCTTATAATTGCAAAAGATGACATTTCTGGCATAATATGCATTGTTTATATACTGTGATACCTATTTTCCTCCCATCCCTGGACCTGCAGCCATAAACTCATCAACACAAACTGATTGCTTTATAATTCAAATAACAACATCAGATATTAATGTCAATTCAGTGAGCCAAAAATGTAATTTCTCTTAGAAAGACCTGACCGTTTTCAAGTTCAAATGCCCTTATCAGCACACATGATCGTGACAACTGACTAACTTTAGAATCCACATTCTCAGGTGCCAGTGGGAAGGCGAGGGCTCTTTCTGTGTGTGGCTGCGCCTTTCTGCCGCAAGTCCCCTATGAAAGGGGTCACGTACTAGAGAACCCTCACTTCTTGGGTATGGGGAGCATTTACCCTTAAGGCTGGGTGTACAGAGGGAGGATGAGGTATAGCTCTCACTTTCCGAAATGTAAGAGGGCAATGGGTCAGGGAAGGTTGCATTCCAGGAGAGAGTTCATGAGGACAAAAGCTGAGGGCAGGGGTCTTTCTGAGCTGCACGTTCTTAGAGTATATGTACCTGTGTTTATAGATCCCTGAGGTTGAGTCTTCCTCTCCCTGTTCTCTGTTGCAGGTCTTTAATGTCATCAAAATATTCATCTCTGCACTTTTGATCCTGGTAGCTGTGATCCTGGTGATCAGAAGCAGTAACTTCACAAATCTAAAGGGCAGTCTGATCTTGGCTGCCTTGCAATTTTCTTGGGTATTCATTTGGGCTTATTGTATCAATGCTAAATAAAAGAATAAGAATTTTATTTGGGGAGGAGCTCTGGTGGCCTAGTGGTAAGAAGCTGCAACTACA